GCACAAAGCTATCGGCCTTGTGGTTTACATAAACTACGACAGCATCATGCAAGTATCTTCAGTTGTGTAAAGGAGAGAAACTTCAACTGGTACCTGAAATAAAATATAAACTGTGGGGCTGTAAGGCTGATGCATTACTGCTTTACACAAAGCCAGATGACCTAAATATGTAAAAGACTAGCACAACTGAACTCAGTAAAAAGCAGCATAAAAAAAACAAAATCAAGATTTGAGAGAGACTGGAAAAAAGCCTCATTTGGATATACTTACCTAGCTAAGAGAACGGCTACTACGGTGGTCATTTTTGGAAACTGAGGGGACAGTGTAGTATTATAACAAATTCAGAGACTGAGATCTCCAAATCACAAGAACAGGTCCACAGGACTTAGCACACCATTCTTAGACCACCAATGTAGTGTGCTTTAATTAAGCTCCTATTCTAGAAATTTAGATGAAACTAAAAATAGTATTGGATGCAAAAGTCAATGCTACATCTCTCTCATTCCCTTGAGTACTGTATTAAGAAATTGCAGAACAAAAACTATGCACTTACTTCCAGTTCTCTGACAGATCAATTACAAATGAGGGCCGCGCTAAGAACTTAAAAAGGTTTCATTTAAATTTAAAACTATGTTTAGCTTCCCCAACTACATCAGAATTTTTGACAGTACTTGCTGCAATACTTTACGTCAACTGACACGTGTATGTATTTATTCATTTCTAAATTAACTGGAGACTTCAACAGAGAAGCAGATATAATTTATTGCAATTAACACTCTCCTCCCTACCGTGCTTTCTAATCATCACCTTGGTATTGTTCCCCATACTTACACCCATTATTCATCTACTGCTATCTACAATTGTTCACATCACTGTCCACAATTTTCCACATGAAGCAAAACAAAACAAAAGAGTATAAAAGGAGAATGTAAACAAGTAGAGGTCCTCAGACTGCAAAAGGAGACATGAAATTAAAGAAGAAAACTGAAGAAATAAACAACAGAAAATATTTACAGAGCAACGACAGCTGTTAGCATTTAACAATAATTTTAAAATACTTAAGATAATTTCATATATCTTTACTGTAGCAGCACATAACGATCTTAGGACCCTTTGTGCCACACACTGTAAAAAAATACCAAGACTGTTTTGATTTGAATGATATTTCAACCTTATTACTTTTATTAACCTTAATTCTCACTTCCCTTGTTCTCATCTGTTACCATTAGTTGCTACATGGCCCTATCACCCCTCACTGAGGTGTGAAAAAAACAAGCCAATTCACCCTTCGTTTACTCTGCAACACCAACCTCCATACCCACTTCTTACTTCCTAGTAAGCCTGCTTTTGAGCTTTCTTTGATGTGCCCATAATGCCTAGTTGTTGATCATCATGAACATCTGTAAAATTAATGTATTGTGCAGCTTCAAATTCCTATTTAAGACTGTTACCCCTGTGCCAGTTTTAGTTGGGATAAAGCTAATTTTCTTCACAGTAGCTAGTATGAGGCCATGTTTTGGATCTGTGCTGAGAAGAATATTGATAACACACGGATGTTTTAGTTGTTGCTAAGCAATGTTTATATTGAGTCAAGGACTTTTTCAGTTTCTGATAGTGCACCTGTGTTGCCTTTTTTTTCTCTCTCTACAAGAAGCTGGGAGGGGACGGAGTCCAGGCCATCTGACTCAAACTGACCAAAGGGGTATTTCATTCTGTAAAATTCCGTTGGGGGTGGGCCAGGGGTCGCTTTTTTGTTCTCTCGCTCAGTGGCCCTCGCTCACTGGGGTGTGCTCTGGTGCAATCTCTCTCGGTCACTCTCTTGCTCACTGGGGTTTGGTCTGGCTCTGGTGTGATCTCTCTCTGGGGCTCTCCAGCTCTGGCTCTCACTACTCGGGAACTGGCTGGGCATCGGTCATTGGGTGGTGAGCAGATGTATAATTTATTTTATTTTATTTTCCATTATTTTCATTACATATTATTATTAGTAGTGATAGTATTATTGGTATCATTTAATTTCTTTTCAATTATCAAATTGTTTTTACCTCAACCCACGAGTTTCCTTGTCTTTTCCTCTGATTCTCCTTTACTGAAGGGGAGGGGAGATGAGTGAGCAGCTGTGTAGTATTTAGTTGCTGGCTACCCCCCAAATACATAAAGAATTTAACAACCTAGATCATTACTGTGACAAAACCAATGCTGTTCTTGCACACAGACAGCTATGACAAGCCATACCGGAAGCCATGTCCTACACTAAAAAGAGCTGTGTGCCTTCAGGGAAAAATAATTTTTGTGATAGCCCAGCAAGTTTGAGATATGCAAGATCGGATTCCAGGAGCAGTGTCATCAAGTGCTGCAAGAGCACAAAAAAAAAAAATCTCCTAGACTAGGTTTTTAGTAAAAGTTTTTGATGATTTGAGGCAAGTCATGCTAAGAGAGCACACAAGCAAGAATGCTGATAGGGCTGCCCATATAACATAGTATATAGACTAAATACTTTAAGCTGTTTTTATTTAAAAAAAAAAGGCAGCAAAGGCTACCACCAAAGAAAATTCCAAATAAACACTATTAAATTATCCATTGACATTTATGAAAGCTGAAAGCTGTACTTCAGCTTGCAGATAGGTATCCGAGTTGCCTTGGGTAATCAAGGATTTTAGACAGTGCTATAAAATACAGCTGCAGTACTTCCACACTGAGCTAGGCTTAGGCCTTGAGAATAGATGCTCTTGCAACAGTGAGGCATTTTAACTAATCAATCCTATTAGTTACATGCTTGTCCTCTACAGATATGGTCTTCCTGAACTCTGTTCCCATTATCAGATGTCAAGTAAAGAACGAAAAGAACTGGTAAAAACATACTTGGAACATGCCAGGTGAAACACAACAGGAAGCAAGAATGAACTAGTAAACCCTATCAGACTCAAATTGGTTTCTATAGACCCATTTCTGTACCTCTGCATTAAATTCCCCAGTTTACTTGTTACAGAAGAATTTGTTAGTCTGAACGCAGCATAATCTTGAACCGTAAGAGGTTCACACTGCAACTAGTCAAAGACCTCTTGAACCTGAAAACAGGGTCTAGAGATACACACATTACTTCCAGTGAGGCTCCATATGCCAACTCCTGCTCTTTATCAGCTAAACTAGATTTGGCTTTGGTTCTGTGCACAGTATTCCTCAGCATCCATGCTATCTTATAGAATGAAAAAAAAGAACATCTAGGCTCATTATGCAGCTAATGTTTCATAAAGTGACACTAAAAAAAGTTCACAAGGCTGAAGCAAGGACAAGGCAGTATGTATTATCATTAACTTAGAAAAGTACACCCCTCCCGTTTTTTTTTTTAAGTAATCTCAGAAGGCAACTTCACAAGTTTTAGCTATTTACACCTCACAAATTACAGTGCAAACAACAAAACCTTGAAACACTTTAAGGTGTTTTCTACTTTTTTAGGATTGCCCTGAGTGACCTACTGAATTAGAAATTACTAAAAAGCAACACAAAGAGCCCTATAAAGTGTTACAGGAGCTATGTAAAATGACATCCACACACAGACACTTTTTGAAATCCATGACTTCAAAAAAAACCAGCTTCCAAACTAAGCAGGCAGAGGCATCACCAGCAAATCACAAGAAACTCTCCTTAACTGACAGCAGCAGGGCAATTTTAAAAAAGTTTAAGGAATAAAAAAAAAAAACCACAAAAGATGTTCCTAAAACTGATAGCAAAACATTACTTGAAACATTAATTTCTACTGTCTCTATTTAAAAATAATTAGGACTACATAATGTGACAAAAACAACTACAGACATAAGTTTTTCAAAGCAAAGAAACCTCCCAGAGATAACTTTTGGGAACAGAACGGGTATCAAACTCATAAATGCCCCTAGAAAGCAACAGCAGTACTGGGAGGCTATTCATTTAAAATATGTCTATAGAGTACTATAAGTAAAACAAAAGAATTTGAATACTGTTTCTGACTTACAGAAGGCTTAGAGAACACTGGGATAATGAAAGAAAGAGCAGCAAGACAAAGAAAGGACAAAGGTACTGAATTTCATCCGAAGAACTACAACAGTTCTTTTCTCTCAAGATTTATTTTCACAACAGGACCTAAGCATCCACAACATACTTGTACATTACCTAGGACAAGGACATTCAATCCTGACTAGAACGACAGTATGTACTACAGCATATTGGAAGTAAGTATTGGTTATGTAGTCCTATAGAGGCAACATCATCAGTGTCTCAGGATTAAAACACACCCTCTACCAAAAGCAGTGAAAGATGAAAAGGAATTCAAGTGGTCTCGCAAAGACTGCATTAGCACATCAGGTCCTTCCCAGGTGAGATTCTCTCTGTCTCAGTAGGCCTAAAAGCATGGTATCACCTGTGCTTCAACAGATTCATAATTCAGATGGACTCTGGGAAGCAGCAGCTGCACTCACTCATCAACTCATGCTCTTCCCATTGGGTGACAAATTCCCAGGCACCTATTGAGAACATTCCTTTTTATTCTTATTACTGTTTGCTAACAAGCAGACTTAAGAATAACTTTCCATTTTAAAAGTGATACGACATCTGTGAAAAGACTGCACTGAGGAGGTAAGTTGGTCTTCTGCGCACCCTAAAAACTTCCTCAAAATTATGTGAAAGGCTGTAAAGCCATATAGTCAAAACCCACCACCCTTAAACACAAGAGCAGGGTCAAAACTACGGTCATTCAAACACTAACTTCTCTGTTAAAGAGAAAATGAGGAAGATGCTATTATGGTATTTATTGTGTACACTGATTTACAGACAACAAATTCCACAATCAACTCCCTTAAAACAACCAAATATCAGAGTACAACTTCTCATGAATAAGAACTTAAGCTATGCAAAAAGTAGTAAAATATGGAAATAAGTTCTGATACCAAAGACATCTGTCGACTGAAAGAAAGATGATATGAGACAGTTATTTCAAGTAGCGATTAATTAGTAATGCATTCAATGCTTACCCATCTCTTCCCTTACTGACAATTTTAACTTCGAAATAGTATATGCCACAGGCTGCAGGTATAGGATGTGTAGCTCGAACAGAAGCAGCATCTTTTGGAGTTTTTCCATGACCTGAAACACAGTTGCATTCAAAACACAAAAATGTTTGTTAAGTAACTGCAGAAGATGACTCAAAGGTATACATACCAACTACTCAAAATAGAAGACTTATGTAATGAGCAAACAATATACAGTATTCTAATCAGCTTCATTTTAATGCCAAAGTATTTTCTTACAACATTAAGTTTTCATTGAAGGCACCTGCATTGCAACTAAGCATGCTCTAAAAGTTCTGGACATACTACTCTAAAAGGTTCTACAATTACTTGAAGGGAAACAAGAAAAAAGTTTCACTGCAGTAACATAATTGTCAAAAGCCCACCTGGGTTTGAAAGAACTGTATGATTTCTCAAATGCACAAGGCTCACTCATTTTTACAGACAGAAACATAGCATAACAGAATTTAATCTAATGCTTAGTACTTCTGAATCTTTGAGTTATTTAAGATACTTTAATTCTAATGTCCTTCAGAGTAAATATCAGTCATTATTCAGAACATATGACTCAATTAATTCTGTGTTCTGAATGTTATTTCAGGACAACATTATGTGATACAGCCTGCAACTGACCTAAGGCAGCTCCTACTCCTTTTTATTCTAAGGCTCACTATGTATGAGCTCTGCCACATGAATGCCCCATGCCAGGTCTTGCCTACTCTAAGGATTTTCAACCTAAACCTCAGAGACACTTGCACTCCACTAAGACTAACTCTTCTGAACGTGTCACCCTCTTCACAGCCCTTTGTTCCAAAGGCAACTTGGAAGTAGGCTTTTGGCCAGATGACTTGTTTCAGCAACAACCTGTTCCAGCAAGCTCAGTCCCTCCCAGGTGCAGCAAAATCCCTCAACTATTGTGTGAAAGCCACACACAGGACCACAGAATAATTTTTTTCTTTTTAAATTAAAAAAAAAAAAGAGCAAGGTGTCAAGTACTTTGCACGCTGCCAAGAAGTATTTCAATAAGCTGGCAGCCAGGAACAAATTGCATTGCCGTTAAGAGTAATTCCACAGATCCCAAGCCCACTCTGTGTGAGCCTGAGACACAATGAAGAGAGATGATCTGAGTGTGCTGTACGAATTGCTTGCACGGCAGCACTCCACCTGTCATCCCCAGTCCAGCCAGGGAGGCCTACTGCACCTGCATAGCAATTGATCTGCGTATGCCAAAAAAAGAAATCAAAACAAAAAACAACCCTTCCAGTGGCATTAGCACTGGAATTATTGCCCAGGCACGGATTAATCATGTCTCACGTGCAGCAAGCGGGGCCATAGAGGAAGCTAAGAAACCGCAGGACAAATGGCACAGCTAGTCAGAGAGATGAGGCAGAGCTGACCCACGCTGCCGAACCTCCACCCACAGAGCCCTCTAGCGTACATGTCGATACAGCAGGGAAGGCTCAGCTGCCTGGAGAGCCTGCACCAGCGTCTCTTCACAAATGGTATATGCTAGCCAAGAACTCTCCATTCCGCCACGGCTGCATCTGCATCCTAAACTTTGATAGCAGCACGAATTCTTCACTCACTGAGATTATATTTAACCTATAAAGTTTTTCTGACGTAACTAGTTTACCTCAGTATGTTACTACCTTGAGGCAGCTACTTTTCTGGGTACAAATGCATTGTTCACTTCAATATGTCACTACTAAACATTTTATAAAAAGATACTTCGATCACCTCACAGGTTTTACAGTATTAAGCTTATTACCTACCTTCTGCCTACCATTTTCAGAAGTCTCACATGAGGGAAAAAGAAGTCATTTACTCCTCCATACACAAGACAGCATGCATGTTGTATTGTTCATCCTAAGTTACTTACTCAGGCTGTGTCAACCAAGGTAATAACCAAGTAACCTTAGAGCTTCCATAGGTTTGCTTGGTTTTCGTGCTGGTAGCTTACTATTTAGCCATTATAAATTAGCCATTTTTTAGCCATTATTTAGCCATTTCCAATAATTAGCCATTATTTAGCCATTTCCAAGTATGCAGAAATCCTTCAGCTAAAAGGCACCCGAAACCTTATGGGCAGAACATTAAACTCCCGAGAGATGCCTTAAACTGAGATAGCTCTGAATAAATGATGCATTAGTTAGAGGCGTGGAAAGATACTTTCTTTCTAAACGTCCTTAGGTTTTTACTTTAAAATAGACTGCAAGAAAGTTCCCTCAGTTACTCTATGCATTGACAATCTGTGTAGTTTCAATCTGAGTCAGTCTCCTTATTTGGGAAAGTCTTCCACATAGAAGACTAAAGTAGTAGGAACTAGCCAAATACTATTGAAAACGTGCATTTATTACCCAGCAGTCTTTGTTTTGTGAAATCACAATCTAAATGCCTGGAAACAACACCGGTTTAAGGTACCTCTTCCTGAAACTAGTCCCCTTCTCTCACCCCAGGCAGCTAGCTGCAAGGACATACCATGAAACAGATTGATTAGCTGATCGGGCTTTAAGAAACCTACCAGATTTTTTTAAGCAACAGATCAGCTCCCTGATCCAGTTCACAACACAGCCATACACAGCTGTCACACTGCAAATAAGAGGTCGACACGGGGGTAGAAGTAACAGGATACCATACCAGTATTGCCAAACACTTCATGTGGTGAAGCAACATGCTTGGGGAAGTCAGTGCCCAAAACTACTTTCATCCCATTAAAACACAAGACACCCTAAATATAGAACTGCTGTCCTTTTAATATAATGTCCTGTGAATCCCATTTTACTATCTGAATATGTTGCTTTTATTTGTAGTTACACACAGTTATTATTTCCAACAGAAAATGGAAGGCATCAGGCAGTTAACTACTTTCAAATATTCCGAATACCTCTACACTGTCTCAACATGCTAGTTGATACTTTCAGTACAACAGGAGGAGTCAAGAGATAATAGTTATCAGCCAGCTTTAAAACAAGAAAGGCTCTTTACAGAGCAGGTAGTTGAACTGCAAAATTTCTTACCAAAGGACATTATAGGTGCTAGTGTTTAAGTGGATGCTGGGCAGGCTTCTACAACAGAAATTAACTGAGAAACTGCCTTCAGCTCAGCATGTCCTTCAGATTAAAATGGCTGGAAACTGAGGGAAAAACAGAGGTACATATGCTCCACATGTTTTTAGATTTTTCTGTTGGCACTCACTTATGGCCACTGTCACAGATGGGACACTGAGCTGAGTGGCCCATAAGCATGACACTATACACTGCTGCCATGTTCTTTGGTAACCTGAATCCCCATTTCCTCGCTTGTGAGTAAAGAGGAACTTCAACACAACTTCTGAATCGGAGGTTCCAAACTTCTAAAGTAGATCACATGAGCACTGCCCTATGTTCCCTAAAACAGTCCTCTTGCACAGTCACAAGCTATAGTTAAAGCATTTAGAAGATAAATTTTAAAGTATGTATTATTTAACACTAAAAATCATTTTCAGCATCAAAAGAGAATTCTGCAAACAGATGCACTGGGGCAAAGAAGGGAACACAGGTGTACAAAGCTCGAAACTTTGCCCTGTAAAGCAGATCACAGGTAAGTTCAATTACCAGAACTGGTTTTGATTGGGCTTTCATTAAAAGTGTTTACCATGAGTCAACCATCCTTAAGGAGTAAAGCTTTGTTTTTTAAGCAGTTATTCACACTGATGATTTTTACTATAAGTAGTATCATCAATCAGTCCTTTAGCAAAATTACTCTAAATTTAAGTTCCATCTACTTGAAAAAAGCCAGTTCAGATAAAACCATATGTGGAGAAGCCATTTCAGCTTTCAATAATAACAATCTTTGAATCCAAATCTAAGTGTGTAAAGCATAAGCACCAAATAGTGCAAAAGAATTCTATGGGAGTGTCTACCTAGACAAAAGTAAGCATGTTCATACAATTTAAATCCTTAAATGAAGTTTACACAAGCTGAACTGCAATTATTTCCAACAGGTGTTTCAATGACATGCTCACACTGCCAAAAGTAAAATAATCAAAGCCTAATCTTCTATTGAATTCATTAGGAAAGTTTCCCTGACACAAGGAAAAAAAACATACTCAAATTACTGACTTTACTTCAACTTTTTCTCCAGTTTAAACAGTTTAAAAAAGCAAGACATCTCAGAACTACAAAGGTGTTCAAAACAGGTATAATGTACTGTATGACATGTACTTTAAGTGTTTTCTGCCAGAAAGTTGACACCATCCTTGTATCACTGAATGAAAACTCACAAATATTACTATAGAATTCTATTTTGTTATAGAAATTGTGATGCACAGTTTGCACTGAAAAATAAAACAGCCTTTTTTGGGGGGGGCGGGGGGTTTGGCACTAGGGAGAATTCAATGGCAACTGCATTGTAAATAAATGCCTGGCTAAGATTTCCTGGCCTGTGATACATTAGAAAAAGTTCACACAATGGCAGCTTACTCAAAACTGCAAAACTTTCCTCAGCCTTTTTTTGAACAATCATAAGACTAACTTAAGTGAAGTTACTATAGGACTTGCCATGATTTTAGCACCAATAACTTAGTCTGTTTACTTAATTCTCTATACAGTTTCTTTCATGGTTACAATCTGCATTGAGTCTGTGTTTTTATCTCCATATAGTACATAGCACAGATCATTATCTGATGGAAACTAACTTGTCTGTCTAGTGGAACTTCACATTACATACATCATTTAAGAAAGCCCTGGTTTTCAACAAGATCCATGTGTTAATTCTGAACATTTTAGAAATACGGAGGAATATTTTTAAGGATGTCTTACCTTAATAGCTACATATTTTTGTGCGGTAACTGCTTTACATGTAGCATACACTTGTCTGAACCCTTACGCTTTCTTTACCACATACCTACATTCCTGATACTGTTTTTCTTGTCTCCCCTACATGGATACACTACGAACAACAGTCACTCTGACATCACCAGGTTTCTACCAGCTTACACTGGTAACTGGCAGCAACACAGAAATGTATGTCTGACCACCTGAAAAAAACCAAAAATACCCTTGGGTACAAACTTTAATATATTACAGTATCACTGATGCCAATGTATGTGTATTTCATATTCAGATTTTGACAAAGCTTCCTAATCAAGAGTCAGAATTTATAAAAGTATAACAAATAGCTCACTGCAGAAAGAAATTAGCCTGTTCTGCTAAACAGCACAGCAGTCAGTGCATCTTCCCTGCGACCACCTCCCCATGTGTGTTTTTCTTTTTTAAGGAGCACTATGATTCTGAGAGATAACACAAGAGCACTGACCCTAGGGTTTTGCTGACCCCGTATAACAAATAGCTCACTGCAGAAAGAAATTAGCCTGTTCTGCTAAACAGCACAGCAGTCAGTGCATCTTCCCTGCGACCACCTCCCCATGTGTGTTTTTCTTTTTTAAGGAGCACTATGATTCTGAGATAACACAACAGCGCTGACCCCCAACAAAATTTAAAAGAGCTGTTACCCTGATGCTAGACTGTACTTTCTTTAAACCTCTACCACTTGCTCAATGCCTGATTTTGTGGCAGTTTTGACTTTTAAGCATTCACTTCAGGTCCAGAAATGAATCACAAAGCATCACAGCTGCAATGGATAGAAAGAGACATCTACTGCAGCTCATCTTTCCATTCAAGTTGTCCACTGGTATGCAAGAAAATGAATCTTCAAAATTACATAGAGGACCTTCATTCCTCTCACAAACCAATGAAGGGAGAAAAAAAAAATCACTACTCACAATACATCAGCACATTAAAATTATGAAGCTAGTTATATGACAAAATTACTTTGAAAGCTCTTGCTCTGATTATTTCTCCCGTTTCTCCAGGTGCAGTGAAAATGTTACCACTTTCTGCCTCCCATCAGTCACAGACAGGAGGAAATTATTCCCGCAAGAAGTTCTATGGCAGAAATCTACTGAGGTAGCAGGAAAAGCTTAAGTGTACAAGGTACCTATACTACAGCAACAGAAGATATTAATAATTGCTTTTGATTACTGGCTTCTTAGGACAAATATGCCTTCTCTCCCTTCCGAGTATTTTGGTCAAGAACACAGCAGATCTTTATCTATGCTCAATGTGCAATTCAAATTCCTTTTCAACAAGAAGTCTACCATTCTTCTACAACTGCTTAGATAACTTCAGAAGCACTGAAAGTGCCAATATTCCACAAGAAGATACTTTGAATGCTTTCTTTTCAGACCTCTATTTGCAACTGATTTGTAGAAACAACATTTCACACTACTAAGCACATTCTTACTTGCTATGTTCCCTTATTCTCCTCACTAAACCTTCCCTCTCATTTTCTTCCCTTTTATTGTATTATTAGGGCTAAAGGATCCAGAAAGGAGAAAAAAGGCAGAAGTCTTAGTGTTTGGTTCCCCCTCCCCCCACCCACCCGGTTCTCAGGAATGCTCTCGTACTATCCATTGCTTAGCCCAGTTATGAACTCCAGGTGCCAGGCCGGTAACATATACATGGGGCTGCCCCAGAAGCCACCTTCATT